ATTGTTCTTTCCATTGATTAGTCAGTAGGGTGTAACCAATGTTATGTGTCTAGTTCTTGATGATGTTAATGCAGACGGAATTCCATCAGTCAAGTGTGTGCGATGTGGTCGACAAGTAATGCGACTCACCATTGCAATTCACGCTGAATTGATGTTAGATAGTTGGAGGCAATCCAGAGAAGGCCTTGGCACTTATCAAGCCAGGGGATTGATGTCCCTTTTGAGATTCGAATCCGCATCACTCAGTGCTACAGTCAGAAACTTTACCGGTGAGCTTCCTTTAGGACTATAAAAGGATACACTGATGGGCATCAACAACGAGGACTAGACACATGATACTAGTTATGCTCTAGTTTCCGGACAAATACTTCGATTTCGAATTAATTATGCCATATTCTTAGTGCGGGTTAGTACATAAAGTCAAGTCATTCGTGCAACTGACTGACAGGCTATCTGAACAGCATAGAATGTTGCAAATAAAGGCTTCCTTTCAAACATAAGTATATGAAACCCTAATAAACAAAAAAGTGTATATGTGAAGAAATGAATACATGAAGATAGGCGAACATTTAAAGAATATGAAAGTTTACAGAGTTCGTACAACTACTTCACTCTTTATGCTGTGTATGCTGCACGCCATATAATTAGAGCACAAATTTTGACTGGTAAGTTCTGTTGGCGCATGGTTTGAACACTGAAGGCTTCAATATGAAGTTGGTAGAGAGAATGTTTAAGAGATTACGAATGGTGTTTCTTTGACTTAAGCTAGCAGCGACGATACAGTTCAGACAAATTATGTGGTGAACAGAACTTTGTTCGCTAACGGGAGAACACTCGTTTGCGCATAACATGGGTCTTTATATAATCCTGGGGAACTTGAAAGAGATGAAGGATTGGTTTCGCATCACTGCTCAGGCCAGAACACAACGGCTTGTTTGGATGTAGATCACTTCTCAGTACTGATAACCATGTAGTCGACTATAGAGTAGGTGGGGATGTACTACGGTGTTTTATAACCCTTTCTTTTCCAGAGTAAGATGCTTCATAGCTGTCTTGCTGGTCTTCTAAGGTAAGCACCGTACATCCTCCACATTCCTGTCTATCAGACCCCCAACAGTGATTTTAACAGCTTGCACAGGATAGGTAACCCGTGTTTATCCCTTCAATCCCGAGTGGGACATAGAGCTGTCAGCTTGGTATTTTCACCAGCGGTGGTGTTATTTTACGGAGTAGGTTGCTAGCCTCACGCTCAACCTTCCATCTTCTCCGGGCTAGGCGAGGTTTAGGAGTGTATCCACTGGAACCTCCCCCGTGGTTGGCGAGCATCCTCCCATTGAACCACCGATGCACATAGGGGTAACCGCTTAGTTGCTACCCTACTTACTTTTCGCTAATTGTAGGACTTCATCCAGCGAAAGTCGTTGGATCGTGGCACACTGCGAACCTGGCCACTACCTCATCGCATAAATAAATCCACTTATGATTTAACGAGGTTTCAATGAGAAACCTGTCACTAATTGACGTATTTTTCCATTCGATCCGGAAAATTGAATTTAGCAAAATTGAGTAGCTATATAAAGTGGAATTAATTTTCTGTGTTAAAGTAAACTCTATACGACACTCGTCTGCTAAATCTTACCAGTTTATTAATACTGTTATATTTCTAGATTGCTTTTTGTTTCAAATATATTTTTATGCTAATTAGTAAATACTAGTTTCCTGCTGTGTGTGTGGATTATTCGATTTTTATTCACCTTATGTTAAGTTTGAAGTTAATCCAATAAACTCTTGTGAAATTTACACTGTGAATTCTTTTTTTTTCGTTGTGATTTTAGGAGCATTTCAAGCTGTGCAACATGTATTTTTAGTTGGTGTCGGTGGTAGTGTACCTCACGTGTACGAATTCGATAAGCATTCCCGTTTGGGTGATATTGTAGTTAGCGCTGTGCCTCGCTCTGGTGGCCTGCATTCACCTTCAACTAATGGTAATAATACGAATCATAATACAATGACGAATGGTGTAGAAGACTCTATCTACATTTACTGTGATCGTTTAATTGAACCGCCTGAAGATACTGTTGACGTGAAAACACCAAGATTTGTGTTGAAAAAATACGCTGCACGAGATTCAACTCTAGTCAATTGTGTAGAAAAGGTACTTGATCGTTTTGAAGCAGCTCCAGAGAAATGTGAATGGGCTCAAATATTGAATTCCACTTTAAGTGTATTAGGTGGGGAAGATGATCCTATTGATTTCGCTCGACCACCACCTGATACAGACAAGTTGAAATTAAAGGTAAGTCGTGACCTCTTTTCTCAGAAAGTTATTAATTGACAGTCAACATCTGCCAAATGAGAGACTAGCCAGTGTAGCTACTGACAAGGTGTTTGCTAGCTGCATAAATTACTTCGGGGGACATTTTATTTACAGCTTTCTACCCCTAATAATACAAGCTGCTGGATGTATGTATCATAACTAATATTTAGACAATTAGGAGAATAATTCTCCAATGATAATTGTTTCACCATCTTGCATTGGACAACTGAAAATCGAAGTATGCCAAAGGGTGTCGTCTGCACACAGATTCATCAAATATACTTCACTTTTCGTTTTCATATCGAATTGTGTGATATATATATATATATATATATAAATCGCGCGTCAGGCCCTCGAGTGGAACCCGAAAGGGAAGCAGCGAGTCGGACGTCCAAGGGTGACATGGAGGAGATCGTGTGAAGAGGAATTGAAACAGTATGGATTAAGATGGATGCAGGTGAAAAGTACAGTAGAAGACAGAAGCAAGCGGAGACGTGTTGTTGAAGCCCTAAGTTCCACTAGGAACCCAAGGGAACAATAATAATAATATTCTTTGGAAGTTGCGCATAGATTCATTCCCAAAATGGAGATGAAGCCGTCATCGTATTTTCACATGAATGCAATTTACCATTTATTATTATTATTCCCGTGGGTTCCGAGTGGAACATAGGGCTTCAGCAACACATTTCCATTTCATCCTGTTATCTGTAGTGCTCTTTAGCTGACTGTACGATTTCCCATAGACTTGCATCTCCTCTCTTCATAAGATCTCTTTAATATCACCCTTGGACACACGTCTAACTAAGCGTTCTTCGTTCGGGTTCTACTCGATAGCCTGGTGTGGGATGTCACTTAACGTGTATCCAATCTATCCCCATTTTCTTCAGTTTATTTAGTAATTAATTTGTCACTTACACCAGTAATAAAACTGACAGTTACGGTTAATTAGAAAGTGTAATTTACATTTGACTGCGGAATCCCATTAGGAAAAAATTCTCAGTTTAGCACCTATCCAGCACAAGAGAAAATTCCTTTTTGTGTGGACGAAATTAGAAATTACTTGACATCCAACAAGTAAATGTGCATAGCTTGTCACAGTCACCCTGTCTTCACAAACTGTTGGTTAATATATAATGTTCAAAATGTGTTCGGCTAGATGTATCTCCACACACACACACAAAACATCTTTGACTACCTGATTGATGAATAATGTCCTACATAAAAGCAAGTAACTGGGTTTTTTTTCTCTTTTAAGAATCAAATATTTTTGTGTGTACAATAGATACGCGTCATAACTAACTAACTGTCAGGTGACATCTATCCACATTCCTAATTATGACAGTAGATGATTTGTAACATCGCTTGCTATACAACTGTTTTCATCGATCAACATAACTTTGATCGGTCATTGTGAATGATCAGACTGGAATTTTTCTTATTGATTATTATTATTGTCTTGAAAGAGATTGTATGCCACTACGCATAATGTGTATATATACTGAACATTACTTTGTTTGGTAGGACTGTGGTTACTAATATAACGTATCACATGAAAATATTATAGCATGTGTTGTTGCACAAATAAACCCTATGCAGTCTGTAATTAGTGATTTGCTAAAGTAATAAATGTGGCTGATCAATAAATTCTACACAGGTCTATATTTTTATCTTCTTCTAAACTATATTGGCATAGATCAACGAAGGTGTAACCTTTGATATCAAACATCCTGATGTACCTGAAGAATTGTCACGTTTCTATCCACCTGGTGTACCAGCTGTACGTCTCGGTTGTATGGGATCTGGTCGACCGGTCACAGATAACGACGCATTGAGGAATGACTTCGCCAAAGAATACCATCTGCTGTGTTACGATGCTGAATATGATCAGGTAGGTTACTTTTCACTTATTAAAACACACACTTGTTACTATATGAGCATCCACAGATGCTCCATACAAAATCTCAGTTTGCGTGACGAATGGGTCACTGCACGGGCCCGAACAGGTGATTGTCTCAAGAGGTTACCTCCGAGCCTTTACCTCGAAGTCAGCCCACAATGTAGGGGGAGCAGAGTCTAGACCTGTGTTGTCGTGGTTTCTGGTTAGCGAAACAGATTCATCCCTTCGGATCCTCGAGCCATAACTTTGGAATCGGGGTTTTCCAGCCCTCCTAGGTAGACTTGCATGTCCACCAGTCCGGTTGTTAAAGCACCAGACGTTCGCAAATGCCCTTTCACTTTTGTGAAGAACACCCTCGCCGTTTGAAGACAGTGAATAAGACTCACCTGGTAGAGGTTTTGAACATGTGAGCGCATTTCGAGAAAAAAACTTGGGTCTACCCACCCTCCTCCGTACTAGGTCCTTTATTACATTTGCATACGCTTGAGCATAGAAATCAACCGTAACTTCTTTTAACTATTCGTTCTCTCTGTTCAATTTCAGGTGTTGGAGTCAGTTATGGGAAATGGCCTTGACTCCTTTATTCTTATTCGTGGGATAGCCGACTATGTGGAAGGCAGACAAGGCACACAATGGCAACCGTATGCAGCACTTGCAGCAGCCTCTTTTATGAAGTCTATAATCTTACAATTACCATTGATTCCCTTACAAGAAGATTGATTAAAACCTCCGATTATCTCAAACCGCGATTGTTCATGCTTATATGCTTCACCCAAAGACTTCCACCAAGTCAATGTTTATATAACTTAGAACGCTTTACCAGCTCTATCCTATCCTATCCATTTTGTACAGTTCCAGTATACACACCTCCTACCTGAGTTTACTGCCTGATTAATTAGAAAACAATAACCTCTCTATGTAGCATTATTTTTGTTCATCTCATGGAAAGAAAAAAAATTACTGCCATGTATTATATTAATATATAAGTATATTATAATTAATATCATCATTATCATTGTGTTTTGAAAATTCTATATGTATATGTATACTGAAGCCAATGAAACATTTTACAAGAATAAAAAGGAATCAACATTAAGCTTGTTTTTAGTGGTGGAGGATGGGGTTAGTTATTTTTTATAGGGTTGATTTGGCTTGGCTGGCTGTTTGAGGTGAAAGATAGAAAAACAAATCACATGTGTTTTTTTTAACAATATGAGTATAGTTTTTTGTGGTTGCGAGTAACAGAGAACATGAGTAACTTTTCTTGAAGGAGAAAGTAGGGGGTAACAAATAAGAATGATTTGTTCGTAATCTATACTAGGCGTAGTGTATAACCTCAGAAAAAAAACAACACTAGAACTATGCTTGTATCGCATGAAACAGAGTTAGAAGCCAAGATTTTTAAAAAAAAGCATTTAAGTACTACTGTTTCACTCTTTGTTCTCAAAAAGAAAAACACATTAATTCCTCAGATACATCTGGGCTGTACACTTTATATGCGGGGGGAGGGGCAATTGAACAAAAAAAACAAAGTGAGTTTTCACACTACTCAGAAAGACGCATTGTGATTGAATAAAGTTGTCAAAAAAGAAATTAGGGAAGTTAACCGGTTGTGTTAACACATGTACAAGTACAAGGTGGGCAATAATTTTCGAAACTTTGTTCATCAATCAATGAATTGTTTGTTTTTTCTTGTTTTATTTCCTTTTTAATACACCTATATATATATGTACGTATATATAAAAATACATAAAATGAATTTCTGATTTTTGCATAACAAGCGCCTGAGATGAATGGTATGAATAATGAAACTGTCAAATGCGTATTTAAATTGCAGCTTCATGTGAATTTGAACAATTGAACAACCATTCTTTGTAAAATTAATGTACACACAATTGTGCTGTAAGAAATCAAACATATCAATTTATTTTTTATATTCAAAAGTATTAAAGACAATAAGACTGATTTATCGTTTCAAATGATAATAATAATTTTAAAATAAAGCATAATACGAGTTTGGAGCATCATATTGCACCAAATACTAAATAGTGATTAAGTCAAGGCATCGTATAAGGTGACATGGATAACATTTCTCCAGTTCATTTGAAATACAATACAGGTGGGAAGGAACCTGTTTTGAAAAAGCAATGATTTACAAAACTACTGGAGATAAAGTATCCCAGGAAAGGATTTAATTAAGTGGGCTACTATTACAGAAATTTTTGGATGCTACACTTTACTGTTCAACTGGCAGCTCATATGCAAGACTGTATTGTCTTTATTCCCATTTGTATTTGACTATTATAGAAACATAACTGCCACTATTTGCGACCAAAATATCAGATACTATTCTGATTCGCAAAATGCGTGAGAACTAGGCTACTGCGTAAACGATACTCAGCAAAGTCTCCAAGAATTAATTTTCAACACTTTTCCAGATAACACAAGCCGTAGTGGATCACTTTCAACTTTTGTCAAATTTATCTGACTTTGACCAACACCACTATTTTAGAGCGGATGGGTGACTGGGCACGTGCCAATCATGTGTCCCAGTGGTATATGAAAACTCAAACTTTTTCCGAAGCTGTATAAACCCTTCTGTTCCACCTCTGATAGCCAGGTCTTCCAAGCATAGAGCAGAATTGTTTGACAATACTGAAATAAGGATTTTATCTAGCGCAGAATATAATGTCATACAGACCTTCATCTGCTCTCTGCGGTTTCGTCAGCAGGCAGTTTATTAGGGATGACCTAACTTGTTAAATAAGTAGATCAGTTAACGCACTTTTCTTACTTTATCTTTGAAATAGACATTAAATAAAATTTCAAGTGTGTTTTAACACAGATATTGCTGGAGACTTCCAGCTTGAAATACTACAGACGTTTTCATCAAATAATGTTATTTCCTTATTATACAAAATTTGTTCTATCTTCAGTCAATAACATTTTGGCGCTACATGTTGACAACGATTTTCGTAATGTGTTAGTGCACTTTATTCTGCGTGTCAGTATCCAGAAGATGAATTTCAAAATTAAAATCAATCCTTACTTGTGAATACTCAGTATACCAATAAACTTACCCAGGGATCACGGTAGCTTTACATTAGGATGGTAGAAACTCTGCGCGACTGTGTCGCCAATCTGATGGACGTTGTCCACTTGAGCTAGAGAATGAGGCAGTGCTGCCTGACGATCCGCTTGCTATCCCTGATGTTGCGGAAATCCGGCTAGACGAGCCAACTACAGCAGCATTGTCAATACCAAGATTAGCGGTTTCAATGTCGAAAGCACGTAAAGCATCCGCATGACGTTCCATTAGTCGTCTCGTTTTTTTACGAGATTCTTCCTTCGTTGACTCAGCATTCTTTTTCATCTGTGGTAGATATTAAAGCAAAGAGCTATTAAGATTTTTTTTTAAGGAGAAATCAATGAGTGATCACCTATTATACTAAACCAAGTTCACTCATATCCAACTTTTAATGTACGCAAATGTCGTAATCCCACTAAATGTGACAAACCTTTTTTTCACACACTGATGCGTCTTACATTTTCATTTCAATCATATTTCTACAAACCTACTAGCAGGGATACTGAGGATATTAGACAGATTTATTTATATGAGGATTGTCGATACTACTCAGCTCCTCAAGTTTAAGTAGGTGGAGAGGAACTTAAGTTGTCCATAATCATAAAAATTACAGTAATGGAAAGTAAACCTTACAGAGCGAAACACAATTCATCGAAAGAGAGTAAAAAGCGCTGAGAATTAAAAGTCTACAGATAACTTACTGCAGCTTCTAGAGATTCTTTGCGGGCACGAATTCTATTCTCTAAATCTTCCCTTTGCCGCTGGTGTTGTTTCAGCATATCACGTCGTTGTTTTTCCTGGAAACTGGACAAGATTTTCACTCCTTCTGAACGGTTCTCTTTAAACTCTTTATTTTCACGAGCATGTGAGGATTCAACTTTACCCTATTAAGAGAAGAAAATGATTGAATATTAATATTTTAGGACGATATACTTTACCGGCACAATAACATACAGTTACCGTTGAGGGATTGGTATTGTGGGAAACCATACGACAGAGTTCAACAGTACTTAAACGAATGAAGAATACTAGAAGCAGAAATCACAAAATAATCATTAAAACACAAAAGATATTTCTTAGTACGAAGGACATATCATCATCAATATTGTCTTGGCGACTATGGATTGTACCGCTCCTTAGAAATGTCACCGATAAGGAAGAAAGTTCAGGAGTGTAGAAGGGAAACCGAATATAGGCATTAATAACCGACGACTATTTCCAAGTCAATTTTTCCCAACTCCAGCCAGTTCATGAAATATATTAGATAAGGATGGAGAAGATTTCTAGCTCTGGAAATACATTCAAGGGATGGAATGACACGCTTCATAATGCCACATAGCCCGTGAGATAACACATTAATACATATGCCAGTTGGCAGGAAACACTCAGCGCTTGAAAAAGAAGGAAAAAAATGAAGCCAAGAAACTTGAAAGAAGTAAATTAGTGGTAAAGTATGCTGATTCATAAGTATGCTTGATTCATAAGTACGTTCCTTGTTAACTAATATTGATACGTTACATTTAAGTTAAGAAGCATCCTAAATTAAGGTAGTAGTTTTTTCCTTCTAGCATTCAGAACTACGGTCTTTCAGTATGTTGTAATAATTGAGACCATGATGCAATAAAAACGAGCAGTTTTTAAAAGCGGCTTTTCGGATCGAAATAAGTGCTAAAATATAAAACCATTTTTGTGCACAAGTGACAATAAGATCTTAACTAGCCAAGGCATACCTATCCAATCAAATCGCCAGTTTGAACATATAAAAGTAGATTATGACAACGAATTCGGATACACAAGGCACTAGTATTTTCTATTCGAACTTCAGACAGACAAAGAAAACTAACGAACCCAGAAAGCCAATACGAGATAATAGATCCGAATATTTCTAGAGAAATTACAGGGTCCACCCATTTTGAAAAAGACGCACTGACGGTGATCACCTGGAATATAATTGAAAGCTGTAGGCCAAAATATACCTGTTTACAATAGAACCATACTACAAGAATCTCTATTTCTTATCTCGTATACACATCATGAAAGTCAAAGTATTTCACGACGACAAAGATTGTAGGTAGGAATGAATATAGTGAGCTACGTCCGTGGATGAAAATGTTTTTAGATTGAAACCACGGAAACATGCTGGTATTTTAAAAATTCCAACCCTAGTAGTTAGCGAGAATACATTTAAGTGAGATTCTGCACTTTCGAAAAGCTAGTGGCCACTCATGAGCTACAAGTCATAGTTATTTGTGACCGGTGGTGTTGGAAAGGGATCCGAATCCACCAGCTGAAAGTCATGTGCTAAAGTCAATCAGTTACATTCTTACAGAAGTGTGCATCTACAACTCCACTGGGGATTGATCTCAGGACTCTCCGCTTATGAAACGACCGAATAAATGAACCAATCACCGCAATAGCAAACTACACTACAGATTGCAATGCTAAACCTCAAAAAACCCTTTAACATATTCAGTAAGTAGAGTTTAAAAATCTAAAACATTGTCACAATACTAAATATGTATAACAAGGATATTTGTAAGTTTCTAAGACTTAATTAAGGCGTTTTACAACATTTTATAGAATTAAACAAAAATTAGAATCCTATTAGTAACTTACATTTTGACGTTCATGTAATTCACTAATACTTTTATTATATTGTGCTTCTAAGTCGGCTTGTTTACGCTTTTCTTCCAGTTTAAGATTCTCTAAAATTTGACGTTCATCTTGCAGATGCATAACTAGTTGACCCTGTAGATCAACCGACTCTGGACGATTATTAGAATTTGATGAATTCAAACCAGAGGACTCTGATGCTCCTGAAAATGATGATGTGCCTAACTCTGAAGATCGACGGGCTGCTTTTAAACGTTCTTCACGTAGCAGTTTGAATTGTTTCTTCTGAATTCTAGCAGCATCACGAAATTGTTTACGAATCTGCAACTCTTTTTGCTAGAAATGCACACACAAATGAAAGAAAATAGATGTGAAAATAACGATTTCATGGTCAATATATAAAAAACGTTACACAATACAACTGTTAATGATGACATTGTATTATAACTCATTTGGACTGTTGATGGTAAGGAAAGTCTTTAAGCACTTTTGTCTTCAACAACTTGGCTAGCAGGAAAAATAAAGAAATAAGTATTATTGTCAATAGATGTTAAAGTATTCACTTTGGGTGAAATTCCGAACAGAACTATGATGCACTGCTATGCATTCATACATACGTAATAACGTACATACAACGGACGATTTAGTACAAAGCGTTAAATCCTAACAAAGTGTTTGACATTATTCATGCAACCTGTTAATTATAATTTATGAGACTTATGAAGAAATGAATTCCAAGCTTTTAAATCCGTCAACTTATAAAGATGCGGTGAACAATAATAGTGGACCGACTGAACACCCTACCATTTAGCCTGGAAGACACAAAACATGTGTGTTATTTATCTTTGTTTTTAGTACACACACACACACATGTCACATTGGCTAGTTTAATTACTTTTACACCAGTATCAAAGAACTTAAAAGCGCTTACAGACAAAGGTAGATATAAGTTTCTACTGGTAGCGTAATTCATTTACACCCATGAATTTCAATCGTTATCACTACTGAACTACCAAACGTTACTGACTGACTGAGTTTCAACACAGAAATGCAGAAGTTCAAGTTACCACACTCCAGTTTCAGTTCGCTCTGTCCTCCTTTATGGTTGTGAGACATGATCATTGAAGGTGGAAGATATAAGAAGGTTAGCTGTCTCTGATCACAGATGTTCGCGTTCTATCTCCGATGTTACGTGGCATAATATGGTGAGTAATATTGAGATTATGCAAAGAGTGCCAAGTAGAGAAGGCAAATCAATTAATGAGGTCGTGGAGTAGCATCAGTTGAGATGGCTAGAACACGTGCCGCGCATGCCAAGCAACAGCTGACATAAGGATGTGTTGGAAAAGAGCTAGGAGTGGTCGGAACAAAACCTAGTATTAGACCATGAAGTTCTCTGCAATTAGTTTGAATCCTTTATATTATGAAAAATACTAACTAGTGACCAGTTTCCACACATCAAGTGATAATTCAAGTCTATTAAATAAACATATAGCGGGTTTGTTAATAGTCAGGTCAACATAAGTTTTTACATACTAAGTAGCCAGTCAGTGGCTCAACTATAGCAAATCACTAAGCATATATTATTTAACAGTTTAACACAAGAGCCAGTTTGCAGTTAATTATCTTAATTTACTTTACTTTCATTTTTCTAATGAGTAATGTGTATTAAAGCATAGGTACTTCTATAAAGTGTACTACTTAGTGATAGGAGCTTGCAAGTATATTAAAATGCGAAAATTCACACAAACAAAGTAGCGACTGAAGATTTAGGCAGCAGAAATAGAGTAAATCGTCTACCAAAACAGAAAAAGAGAACGTAATAAACGAGGACCGCAATCAGATGCAGAACACGAACAGTTTGTGCAAAGTGGACGTTTACAGGGATTTAGGGTAAAAATTGTTAGTATTGTATGTGATCGGTCTGATAAATAATTCTCAATCACTTCAGTTGGAGAACCATTGACAACCAGGTTGTTCAGGACAGCCACTTTGTCCTAGTTTGAGACTCTTCAGAAGTACGCGCCCATCACCTCACCGGGGATCGTAATCAGGACCTCCAGATTACGAAGTGCCCACTCAGCCATCGGGACGGAGTGCACTGGCCCATGAATTCTAACTACCGTCAATTTACGATATGTAGTGCAACCGTCAGCCAATACGACCGACCGGTTAATATTTGTCCTCGCACCCTCAACCTCACTAGTAGCTGACTACATAATGAAGTTCCCCAGAGTTGTAGTACGAAGTTATGACAGATGCGATCCACCTATTTGGATGTTGCATACTGTTGAAAGGTCCTAAGTTGGGACGAAACAGCTGTCCAGTACTCCGTAGTTTTCAGTGGTTCTCTAAGTGAAGTCAGTTCGTATTCTAAACTGAAGTCAATCAAATACCTGCAAAACAACGTTTGAAAATTCTGCATCAGTTCTCAATATGTTATTCTGTATATTTTTGACTGAAAACTTTGAATTTTGCCTGATCAACGACGCTTAAATTTAATAGCAAGCGTAAATAAACAACTACATGGATTATACTTCTTAAGAAGCATAACTCAACACACTTATCAAAATGTCATACTTTGAAAGTGAGTATACTCCATTTGCAGTCACACATTATAAAAAAAGTACTTTACTTAACAACCCAAAGTGTGATCTATTTATATGTAGTGAACTATTGTCACATCATTTCATGCATACAGACATTCATTTGCATCACCTTAGTGTCTGTTATTATCCATTATGTGAAAGTATAGTGATGACTGTCAATCTAGTGAAAATGCATTTATGTTATATCGTGTGTACATTGGCGTACTTATTTTTTTCGTAAAATATGTCGATTTTCAATAATATTAATAATACCCATATTTTGAATACTGTTTATACCGTGTACATAATTTTCGGAGGAAATTATTGCGTAATAGTTTCACTCTCTCCAGGACCTTCAAGCAAAACAGAAAGTGACAGCAAAGCCACCCACAATTTTGCTATTTTTCAAATTTACTGAAAACCTGTGAATTAGCAGATCGTAGACATTTTAAATACTCACAGGAGTAGAAGACACCGTTAGAGGTCATATTTTAACAGATTAAGACAAACTGAGCAACAGAGATCATATGAAATATAATGATGGAGTATTTTGGTAGCTCAGGTTTCAAACAGATCGCCGGAGACGGCGGAGACGTGATATCCGCCTATCGACCAAAGGGCGTGTGTACTGCTCAGCAGTCCGCTCCGTCCTCCTTTATGGCTGTGAGACCCGGCCATTAAGAGAGGAAGACATGAAAAGGATTGTCAGCTGTCTTTGATCATAGGTGTCTATCTCCCATGTGAATTGGTATAATAAGGTAAGCAATATTGAGGTTATGCGTCGAGTGCTAGGTAAGGAGGGGAAGTCAGTCGACGAGACTGTGAAATTACATCAACTGAGATGGTTAGGACATGTGTTACGTATGCCTAGTCATCGCCTTCCTCGACCGACGGGCAATGTTAGCTGATATAGGGCCAGGCTGGAAAAGAGCTGTTGGTGGTCAAACCAAAACATGGCACCAGTCAATGAAATCCACAACAGTTAGTCTAAGCCACGTAGGAAGATGTAGACTTCCTGGTTGGGGCCCTCGGGATGGTAAAAACCAATGGTTGGAAACAATTGGTGACATGGCTCAAAATCGTTCTCAGTGGCGCAGATGCATCCACTCCTTGTGACTTATGATTTCCAATTAAACTGTTTTGTTCTTCGTTATTACTAGTCCTTTGTCTCACACCTCTGTTTACTGTCTATATTATGCATTTCTCCTACTTTCTTCTCTTCCTTTGTGTGCTATATGGAGTGTGGCGACTTGAACTGCCACACAGATGTGTAAAGTTCTATGTCAAAAACAGACAGACAGACAGTAGATAGTAGCGACGATTTACAGCTACAACTGCTTATCCTGGGGAATATAACTATTTCATCTTCTTTGGGGCTCTATGCTTGACCGCTAATATTTATCCACCAGGTTGGTTGGATTAATCGACCACCATCGCAAGATTAGAATTTGCAACAGTCCCTTTCAGACAAACCAACTTCCAAGAAACAACTCTTATACTACACTATGCATAAAGGTGGGTCTATGGTTAGATGGTAAAATGGACCCCAACAATGCACGTCGCCTGGGTTCGATTCCCTGCCGACGAACTCCTAAACCTTCCTAAGACCAGTATAAAGAATGAAGGTCGGACGTGAGGCTAGCAACTACACTCCATAAAATAACACCACACTTACTGAGACTTCAAAGCCCAATCTTGAAGCTGTACATACCATTCGGAATGCAAAGATATGATATGAAAGCAGAAATCATGGATAAACAAACCTTAAGATATTTGGGTAGATTTTTTGTTTCTTCACAGTGTCTTTTTTGTATACCAGCTTCAATACGTTTAAAATACTGATGTAGATTTTCCATTTCAGCTTCATGTTGATTTTGTAACTGACTGATGCGTAAGTCTTGAATTCTTTTCAATTGATTGATTTCTAAATTCTCAAGTTCTGTGTGTTGCCTGAGTAAAAGTGAAGTAATCTCTTCAGCTGCTTTCTGTTGTAAACGTATATACTGGCGTAACTGTTCCATCTACCAAAAGTCAAAAATAGAGTTTGTATAAATCCAAGTATTAATATATCAAAAAATTATATGTATCTAGTATGGAATTATTTTTTACCATGGCGCCTAAATTTCACTTTTATAAAATAAAGGCTGCTTGAATTATATGACAAAAACCTATTTAGCAATGAATAAAATTAACAAACAGTTTGTTATTGAATCTTCCAGTGGAAGGCTGGATTCATTTTAAATAAACACTCATCATTCATTCTTTTTTTTTATTCCTTCACGTTCCCAGTGGAACATAGGGCTTCAAGCTAGTGGCTTGAAGTTTCTGTAGCAGTGTTTATTTTACAGAATGGGGTTGCTAGCCTCATGCCCAACCTTTCCTCTTCACCAGCTTTATTTCTGGCTTAGTGAGGTAAAGGAGTGCGCCGGCCGGGGATCGAACCCCGGACCATATGCATGGTCGGCGAGCGTCCTAACCGCTATGCCACCGACGCACCATCATTCATTCTAATATAACATAATCCTTTTGATTAACCCAATAAACAAATATTCTTAAAATACTAACAGAAATGCCCGTCCAACAAAAGTAATGTAAGGTGGCTGGTAGAGATTCATTGGCCCGGTAGAGGAAAAGCTGTCCAGATACAATTAAGAATGTCATTCTTGCAGATAAAAGAATGGTTTTCTTAGATGTCGTCTCTCTCTCTCTCTCCACACCAATGATATACTGACAGAAACTACATGTGACTACGATCAATTCAATAACACTGATGTCGGCATACCGATCCATTATCTGAACGAGTTATTACTCCGGTGCACTTTCAATGTTTAATTTAGATTCAACAAAGAAATTTACAGGCAAATAGATGAGGACTCCTGTTGGACCACTGTTTCATGGCTAACCCAGACAACAATTTCTCATCCGTCAACTATCAATGAGCCTTATCTCTACAAGAGATACATCGATGATGCTTTCATTATTGGCTATGAGAATATGGACCTCGGAAACCCACTCCAAACCTTCGACAATGCTCACGTAAACATCGACTCCACTCTAGAAGTTGAATTCGACTCGATGTGCAAGTACAAAGAAATGTTGATAACTCGCTGAGGAGACGCATCTACAAAAAGCTTACATGGAACGAACAGTTTATTAATTTTTAAAGTTCTGTCCCTCTAAGCAGAAAGAGGAATCTCAATGGTCCGGAAAATATGCGCCAAGGAATCAGTTGACAAAGAACCACGAAATGTCTTGATGTAAAGTGGTTTACCACCCAGATTCACAGGAAAAAACTGAAACCCCCCAAAGAGATCCTGCTGCTGAATCTTGACCTTAATAGTGATGCTGAGGCAGAAATTCTCTGGAAAAATTTCTCAAAACCTCCGAATAAAGCACACTTTGCTGCCAGCTTAGGAGTAACGTCTTGTAATAAACTATTCGACCTACACATGAAAGACAAGCGGTTGCACAGGGCCTTACCAGCATGCATAAAGCAGTTCCCTTACTTCAGTGGAGCTGAGTACACTGGCCGTACCATACATCCACTTGTAAAACGCGCTCTGGAACACTATCTAGCCTGGCTAGCAGAAGAAAGTAGGTGTGTCAATAGCTCGGTAACAGAATATCTAGTGAACTCAGGAAACTGAGATGCACCACTGTTCGGAAAAAAAGTGATAATTATTCGTAATATTAAAAAGTCCTTTGAATACCTATACCCGATCAAACCTCTCAGAGGAAGTGAGATAAAGACATCCCAGAATAGTTGAAGCACCAACGATCCGAAAATCCAAGCTTACACTATGTGTTCAAAAGAAGTACGTCCAACCTCTGTTTTTACCGTAGCCACCATGAACAATAATTTTTTTTCAATGACGCACATATGTGCCTCATTGGCTTAAGCATTTGGCTTTCAGCTTATTGTATCCCAACTTCGAGTTTGGCTTCACCTACTTCAGATCTGGGATAACTAAGTACCATCTTCCACCTTAACACAACACGTGTGGCTCTTAACCTGCTACATTAAAGATCCGTTCAGAGTAAGAGTTAAAATAAACACACAAGCACGTTAATATACTGAATGGAACTACACATTTTATATAGAGGTCAATGATATTATACTATTTTCAATGACTTGAACATATAGAACAGGTTTCCAAAATATGAATTAGTGCTTTGGTAGGAAACGCGTGAGTCAGTATATTAAATATCATTAATATTTGTCTGAGATTTATCATTTATGGAGTTTACTGTAAAAAGCGACACCCTACATCTGTAAAAAAACAAAAGCTGTAAAACTTAATAGTATGAAACATCATCTTCTTACTTCAATATCCTGCAACTGGGTCAAAAGAAGACGTTTAGTTTTACGAGTTTCAAGTGCAGAGACATCCTGACGTCTTTTACGAATAGCTTCTAGTGGATTAGAATGTCCACTAGAGTCTGAATCATGTGAAATAATCGAACCAAGAGCTGATTTTTTGGCCGATTTCAATTCACTCTTTGTTTCCGTCTCCAATTGACGCGCCAACTTTGATTCAACAGACATTGCACGTTTACGCTCTTTTTCTATTTCAGCAGCATGGATTTCTTCCAACCTCATGAATTCTTTTCTCATCACCAACTTTGTTGCTTCATAGTCACGATTCAAGCGTGATTTGAGTGATTCTTCTTCAGCCTGGTCAAAGGAGACATAAAAGAGTGTTTAAAGAACTCGCAATTCAATGAGTTTTCTATGATAACGTGACGTTATATGATTCGATCATAACTACCTTATGTAAGAATGGAGAAATTCTTTCGGTAAAATAGAAAATATATGCTACTTTAACCCTTTTAAAGTTGCGAATAAATCTAATGAGTAAGAGCCATAACGGTAATTGATCACTAACACATAATGTATCACTCTACCAGAAACAGAAAACGAAAACTAAGCTTTTAGTGCAAATATCTGGAAAAACTTAATATATTAAAAAAGCTTAATATATTAAAAGTGTCCACTGTACACGAAAAAACCTGAAAACATTCCATGTAATTTGATTAAAAAAAAACTATACAATACAGTTGCCCCCAAGAATGGCCTGATACAGACGAGGGTGAGTAGACTTTGGTCTTCCTCTCGAAATGTGCTCATGTGGCCACGCGTTTATAGCCTCTTCAAGGTGAGTCCTATTCACTACCTTTAAGTGGCTGGGGTAATGGCAGATGCGAACGTCTAGTGCTTACAACCAGATTAGTGGACAAGCTGGTTTATATCAGGAGCTACAAAACCCTGATTCCAAACTTATGGTGTACATGGGCTGCAGGATACGAACGGATCGAATGGCGTAAGAACCTGTTTTCGTCACAGGAAATCATGGGAACTGAGATCCCGACGTTGCTTCATTGTTTTGTGGGTCAGACTTCAAGTCAAAGACTCGGAGGTAGCCTTTCAAGACAATCACCTGTCTCCATCTGAGCTTCCGGGCAGTATCCAAGCCCTCACAAACTATGAAATTTTGTATGACGTACCTGTTGGTGCCCACAATGTACCAAGTTTGTGTTTTAATAGTAATGAATACAATACAGTGATATTTAAACAATGCTGTCACATGAATGGATGCATTGTGCAAAAACCAAAACAGACCGACCATGAGATTTCATGAACAAAAATCCAACCTCAAACGCTTGAACATTATAATTGCTATAAAGATTTAGAAAATTAGCTGCCTGAGAGTGCATAACAAAAAAATATGAGATTTCTAGTACTACGGATGTTTGTAACGCCAAATTCATGTGTAAATTAAAAACGAAAAAGACTAAGAGAACAAATAAACAATATTTTCAATAGTAATCTGCACACACCTTATTTTTGTCTTCCACCTGTTTCAGATGTTTATTATGTTGATTTCGTAATCGTTTGAGCTCATTCATTTGATCACGACAGTTGGCCATACCTCTGCCATAACCTTGTTGTGTAAAACCAAGGGCAACAGCAGCAGCTGAATTTGATGCATCCAGTTCTGACGACTGACCTCTCATCATTTGGCTAGTTTTCAGTGTTGCAAAATGACCAACAGAAGATGAAGTCTCCTGTGGAGAACTTATCCCTATAGCAGCTAAACGAGATGTTTCAGCAACAATACCTGAATCATTACGGGGAGAGGTAATTGAGAGTCGATTGAAATTCTCACTTCCTGTTTTAATAATCTGAGTCTTCGTCGGTGTAGCAGAACATCCTACAGCTTCAGGAACAGAACCTTTCGAGGTGAGAGAAAAAAATGTATTTGTTAAAACAACAATGAAACAATAAATAATTTCAGTATAACGAAAATTTCCATTTAGACATTTAGAAGAGAAAAGGATTGAGAGAAATATCTTAATTTTCAGTTTAGTTTGTCTTCTACATACAGCTAAGGCCATTAGAATCCACCTGAGGTAGCCAACCTGTGTATTCAGATGAAATTTATGCAGCTAATCTCTCCTTACCTTGGGCCATCATTACATGAATGTAAAAACCTGACAGGTTTTCTCTTCCTCTAAGCCTTTTAGAAGTTATCATTGTTCTAATTATTTTATTATTCTGACTACTTTATCTTTAGTTGTTTATTACGTTATCAGTCTGGACATTAATTTATTTCTTAATGACTCTCTTTGTTTTTTTCCAATTTACGCATTATGTAATCCACTTGTTTAATCTTTTACGAATGACTATATCCTTTAACTGTTGCGTTATCACTTCCCTGACACGCTGATATTGATTAATTACTGTTAACAAACTTATCACCATCAAGTTGATAGATTTATGTATTGTGTTAAAATTGCTATATGTAATTAGAGTAGAGCCACAGATGAGGATCTAATCGAAAAATAACTACTTCTTCGGTCAACTATTTTGTCTTCCGAATACATGATTTTATTGTTTAAAAAATGTCTCTGAATATTTGACTGTGTGAAGAAAGTACAATTAGTTAACCTGGTGCTAACTTCATGCAAATGAATGAACTTTTCAGGTGTTGTTGATTCACTTAAGTACATCAAATATGTGATATAGGCAAATAACTACGATTAAGTTATCATATATATAATAAGATACATGTCATGAAAAATAATGAACTAAGTCATCTAAGTATATCAAGTGATGAGTATCGCTTAGATATGATTACTATTACGACTACAAGAGCTTAGAAACAGAAAGATTGTTCAAAAGAGTAATTTTAATACCGCGGCCTTGAACTTTTCCTTTTTTAACTTGTAAAATAACTTGTTATGCAGTCCATATTCATTTGGTTGTTCCCTCTTGCTCTTTCCTTTCAAACTCTGAACCCTAAAATATACTCTATGAATACCCTGAAACACTCTGTTTTCCAAGCGCTTCTAGTTCTAAGGGTTATCGTATATAAAATGAGACTTTGACCACGGATTGACATCAGTTAGAGAATCATTGAAAACCACATAGCACTGGGCAGCTATTTTGTCCTAGCTTTGGACTAATCAGCAGTATGCACCCATCGGGGTTCGAGTCCCGGACCTTTCGGTTACAAGGCAAGCTCGTAGACCATTCACCTATTGGGACCTAGTCCAATGGTCCATGTATTCTAACTTTTACCAATTCGTGATTTGAGCACGACCACCAGCTAGTTTCATTGGTGAAACAGCTGGTTTTCAACGGTTCTCTAATTGATATCAATCCGTAGTCAAACTTGAAACATATCAAATTCCTACAAAATAAGTTTTGGAAATTCTGGTTCCCTATTACTTCGAAAAAACTATCAGCAGAGCTAAAGAACTAAATGTCAATAACAATAACATCGATCTGCTTTGAACCCCCATTTGGGAGCGACAAATTTCTAACAAAAATGGACTATTCCCTTTGCTTACATAGGTTACAAGTATGTATGTTATATAATGCTCCCATAGTTGTTTCGTATCTTCTGAAACCATGAATACGCGTAAGCCCCACTATCAATCGAATCATTTTTCTAATGGTATCAGAGATAGTGACTACAACAAGAATTTACTTATTGTTACACTCATACCTAATATTTAGAGAACAAACGCAGTTAAGAAAAACGCACAGGTAGCCCACCTAGCAAATATCATAGAACAACTTTTATTAACAATAAATTTATGGTTATACCCAGACACAAAGCATACACATTTTTCAATTTTATTTTATGATATTTTTATATTTGTAATCCTTTGTCTAATAACTGTACTATATACTTAATTGTAAAGTAAACTATGTTAGCAATTAATCGTTTACGATAAAATTTAGAGAAAAACAAAGATAATCACAGTTTTAAACTCACCATGATGTCCTCCTCCTCCTGAGTCATTATTATTAGATTCCACTACTATCGAATGATACACATGATTGTCACTGTTGGAGTCCATATTAGCATACAAATGACTATTGATTTGAACTGGACGGGAAGTCTGAGGGTGTTGCGTTACAATTGAGTCACCTGCACTCAATCTGTGTGCAGTCGGTCGATTAGACACTGGTGATGGATGCGCGCCATTAAAATCAAATGAACCACCATGTCCACTATCCGGGTCAAATGTACGCGACTAATGTAAAAAAAAGGAAGGACAATAATTGCTTAAACAACAGGCTACAAAAAAACAACAACCTGTAAACTGATGATATCTACACATATTTTTTCGTAGATTCCTATCACAATACAAGCTTGGTCTTAGTGATTTTGTGAAAACGTACTTTTAGCGTATGAAAATGAGTGTAAGAAAATTGAGATTATAAAGTGGAAAAGAAACCACCAAACCAAGGTATGAAGTAACCTGCATACGCATAAAACGATAATTAGCATAGAAAATTACTTTGCACTATAGTATTGTGCTTCTAAATATGAAGCCAAACAATCACCAGGATCACTGTTGGATATTTACACATGAGTTTTGATAAGTACTCTCGTATGAAGGGATTTAGCTGTTAAGATTTCATTATGTTCTTATACTAACGTGATCAGCTAGCTGTCAGTTGTGAATAACCCAAACACAAGAACGAGAAGAAAACAAGAGATCATTACTAGAAGCAGTTTTTATTACTTTGACTGCAAGTGCGAAAATATGTATGCATCACACATGAATCTGTTTAAACTAGAGTATTTGAAAAAAAGGAGTGCGACGGGCTTTAGGTGATTGGTAAAAAATGCAACTTAAGTCATAGCTAAAGAGAAAGGATGAGAAATGTTTGCTCGAGATTTAGAGAAAACGTTTATACACAAAGGCAGTTTAGGGGCTTCCAACAGTTTTAACAAAATGCGGTACCTTCTGAGCAGTTAAATTCACACAGTAGTTACTTGTCAGAAGAAAAGAGTTTTGTAACGATAAACTATTCTGATTAATTTTAAAAATAAATTATAATTGAGAAGTAGGGTCTTTATTTGAATTAATGCCAATTTATTGGTTTGTTTTTAATTGTTCAGGTTATCTAGAATGATGCACAGCTGCGTGAACTTTTTATAAATGTCCATAATAATGCTGTCATTCTAAAATATAATACGGTTGCTGAAATTATGTTGTACTTCTTACGTGGTTTTGACTGACGTTTCTTGTATTAGCGTCGCACAAAATTTAAACTCATCAGAGACTTAACGGTAGTATAGTACATCATACAAAGCGGTTTACAATAATTTATAGGGATGTTTATCTCCAGAGCATTCCGAAACGTACTTTTGGTAAGGAGGTTCTTAAGAGCTTGTACATTTCTCGAGTGTGACAAAGAAAAAATACTGGGCTATAATTATAGAAGAATCACGGTAACGTGGTGACACAGTCTTTAATCACTTCGTTCGCTAAACATAGTAGTAAGATGTATAGTACTATTAAGGCTGTTGCTAGGATGCAATGGATCAGAACGGATTTCTCGTGCGACAGGCTATGGGCCACACTCTACATTGCGAGGGTTGATGATACTGTCCACTTGCTCAGGCTGAAATAGCTGAAGTAGGAGTCGAACTTGGGAACCCTTTGGCTGTAAGTTAAGTATCAATGAGCAACATTTCTACTATTGTGGCTAATAAACTACATTATCCTATTCAGTTGACACCTCGAATTTTGAATTGTCTAAATACTTAGCAAAGGTATAAGAAATGTTCAAATATGAGTTTGAAAACTCTTGTCAACAGTGGCACAGATTAAATGGTGCGCATTTAGATACCAGGAGATCGATTTCAGCAATAGTTCATCGAAGGTAGTTGGGATAATGCTCAATTTAGATCCCATACTCATCCTTGAAACAAAAATACGAACATATAGTACAATTTCCACTTCTGCAACAAAATTATGGTATGGAACCATCAGCATTCTATGTCAAAGCAAACGTAGTTGGAAGACGATAATTCATGAGGCTTAGTCGATGGACAAGATAATAACAACAAAGCAAGTGTCTGATAGTAAAATTCCAAGTATTTAACGGAATAACTGACTAGATGAACGAAGGTGATGAACAATACATAAGAATCTGGTGTAGGTGAATTATTAGTCATACCAGCTTATATGGAAGATAAATTTTTAGCGATGACAGTAGAGCGACCAATTAGTCTCGGTAGGTATGGATGCTGATGAAATCACAGTAAGGATACAGAACACTGATCGATATTGGCAAATCTGCACTATTCATCGAGTAACGTGTGTACTACTCAGCAGTATAACCTCTGTGAGACATGACGAATGAAGTTAGATATGAAAAGGTTACAGATCTATGATCTTAGATTCTTTTTGTTTCACTGATCATGCGAGTTGGAATCACAAAGTAATTTACCTTTCAGATTGAACTGTCCTCTAAGGTCAGATTTCAATCACCAAACATATCAAAATCATGCTAAATATCCTTAGTGCTCCTTGAATAAGTACTCATGCAAATCCCTATTCCCAGCTTTAAGTATTCCCCACAGCTTACAATTTATTATACGAAGTGCTGTACAGTTTTTCATACTAATATTCATCACATAAAAATTTGGAAAGAAACCAAAGTGACCAGTCGATCCTAGTGAGTTAATAAAATGCATTATTGGAAGACTAGTTTAAAGTGAGCCGGGTTCTGTAACTATTTACAAATGAATAATAGTTGATTTCATAAGTAAAGATAAACTTACGGGTGAGTTATCAGTTGAAATTCCAGATACAGAATGTTTAGGAGGTATGTACACATGTCGTTGACCAGGACTATTGCCACTATCGGACAAATCACTGCTTGCGCTTTCCACGCTATTGGAACAACTATCACCCTGCATAAAAAGGAAAGATATACACATAGTAGTATTACTATTGACTCATTGTGTTTCGAGTGGAACATAAGGCTTCTACACGCAACGTTGCTTAAAGATCGTACAAGGAGTTACATTTTAAAGTTCACACATGAGTTATGAAGTAGAGCAGTTCCAAATGGTGAGTATTTGATTATTGCCAAATGATCTACTGATTTGGACGTTTCTTCGATAATTACTTAACAGCACCATTATAACAACCATGGCTGATTATCTCACACAGAGATAATAAGCAGGGTTTGAGAAAAGTGGAGTGTATGCAGCATTCCAAACAAAGGTTTTCAAGATACTTATTTAATGATGTACAGAGTCAATCATGACTTAAAATGACAAACCAAAGTAATGATGATAATCACATGAATGGAATAAATGTTTACCATTAAATTTGGTACACAAGATGTTAAGTATCTACCACAAGACACTAGTGCATCAATTCTCTAACCGACCCCATAAAATGTTGGGAAGTAAGAATCCACTTTATTACAAACAAAACGTCTTACAGAATCTGAATAAGTCGACGATTAATCAAACAAGAGAAGAACTAAGGAGTGCCACATAAAACGTGTACTGAAAACTGTAAACGCTGAAATGCACAAAAACAACGTTACTCCAATGAGAAATTTTTAAAAGCAGTTTGAAAATGGTAGAAATATCTGAAGGCTCGTATGCTCTTAGAAAACTAGAGCACCGTTGTCTACATACCATCTGCACCATGCACTCCGGAAACTAATTGATGATTCATGTTTTAATGAAAATGGTAACTGTCATACATAATTACCACTGTCGTCTTGATAACTGATGGTCTACAGCTATCAGGGAAACAACTGAAACCTTTCTTATACACCAGCCAAGATAAAATCATCTTTATCTTACTGTCTGCACATTAAACGAACGAAACTAGTGACTATATCAGCAGATCTGTGATTCAGACTGCTGGCCATGTTTAATGAGGTTAAACAATGGATCACTACACCATAAAGGAAAAAATAGGTTGGACATAATGACTCTACGATAGACCGATAAATATTTTAAAGATTATTCACCGATTTCAACTCTACCCCATTAATACATCATTTTAATTATCTTTATTCTTATCACATGATGAATATTTGCAGTTATAACCTTGGTATCTAGAAAAGTCAGAACATTTTAGATCATTACCAACCACAAAGCCGCAGATATATTTCGTAAGCACGTAAAACTGTTTTAAGCACAACCATATCTTATAAAATCACTTGACTTAATAATTTATGTGTGATTCGCCTCATAGTTAACACATCATCCATGTGTTGTCTCCACTGCATGTCATTTTCAAAGCAAAACAATCATTTATCAAATCACTTTTTGCCTGGGACAGGTAAAACGGTGATCTACAGCTTATTCTGCCAGAAAGATGATATTAAGAATTAACAAACTTGGCCTCCCACCAAAATGCTAAAAAGGTAATCCTAGAGCATAAACTTTGGATGTAATTAACAGTAATGGCTGTTATGCGCTAGACGAATAAGAAATGACTTCGCTGCGTTTTTAGTACAAGGTTAAAAAAGATGAGAAATGACTTACAGCCAGATATTCGACATCATCGTTGATAGAACTACTATCATGACTGATATCCTCGTCAATACATCTGCTAGAATCACGCCTTCTGGTTTGGTTAGATCCTTTCCTTAAATCATGTCGTCGTAAACTTCGCTCTGGTTCAGCCACGTTTGATCCATCATGAGATTGTCTAAGTAGGCCAGAAATAAGGCGTGGCCTGTAAGAATTTCGTACGGAAACCTCTACTTCAGTACTAGAATCGTCGTACACAAAAGCAGCTTGTCTGCAAGTTGGACTTTCCTCACTGGCTACAACTGAAGAGGAAGAATGATTTAATTCACTTTCATAAAGAATCTTTTTCCACTTTTGACTAATCTGATTTTCTTGAGCAGTTACGGCAGCTTTGGTGCGTTGAATTAACTCAGGAAGAATGTGAGTGAAACGAAATACATTAGCTAAAAAAGGATGCGCCATAGCTTGAGAACAGAATGGTCTTTCATTCATCTACAAAGCAAAACAAATTACTTCAGTTAACCGACATTAAACATTACTAATGTGAGTTAAATAAAATCTCTTACCACTGGAACAAATAAAAAACGACCTGATATCGAAATATGTGAAGCATTATTAGTAACTGACTAACTGATGAATCAAAGTATGACTTTGCACAGAAGCATTCTACGAAGCTTTGAACGGTTAAGGTCTGTTAAGCTACTATAGGAAATCCGTCTGTCACTAAAACACGAAGCTCCCATTTTCAATAGCACTTAGTGCTTTTTATCATTAGCAGTGTTTGTCACTGTTTTATTCTTGTCTTCGCTATCTACCACCAGCTGTTATATAGTTTAGCTCTTCTTTACTGTAAATTGCGTACTCTACATTGCTCCTAGGTTCTTTAGGAGGAAACTCCAGATTGGGCGACTGAGCCTTGAATAAACCTATCTTTACATCGCATCAGACTCTACGTTTCTGAAGTCATGGAATTCACACTATGAGGTTGAAACATATATATGGTTATGGGCCTTACGTGGCTAGGATTCAGTCTTTAGAAACAAAACGTTTTTCAAATATCTTTTCGTTAAGAAAATTATTAACAATACGACTGAATAGATTAATTCAAAGTAAGCGTCTAGCGACTTGGCGATTGATAGGGATTCCGTAAATCAGTCAATCTACCAGCGGTTGTGAGGATTCTTACCAAGTCAACTTTTAACTTGCTTTAGCTTACTTTATGTAGAATAGTCGAAAGGACACCTGTTACTACTACATGGCATTAAGGTCCATATATTGCACCGGTTCAATGAGTTCATATGTCCAGGACGACCACCCCTGAAGGTCCTAGCACTCGAGAAAGACCAGTTGGATAATGGTAAGACCAAAAGCAGTAATCGTCATTTTGTTACAGAATTATGACAAGGACGTATGAGCAAAGTCACATTGCTTGTGTAGGGACTGCTTTATAGGGACAACAAGTAGCTGGTTTTGATGCCTTACTATTCTGAAGAGATTAGAAAAAGTTGACTTCAGAACGATATATCTGGACTTAATCAACAATGAAACGGTTCTTTGCATGGAAGTGTTTTAAAAATTAGCACACAGAGAACTCTTGAACACTGTAGCTAAAAAAAGCTAATCTCGCGTACAGGCACAACAAATACAAATCAACTTTTACACTACGACTAGTCGCAATGTTTCAACTATCAAGTCTCGTCTGAAAGTCAATCGTATTCCTTAAGAGTTTTGAAGTTTCTTTTTCATCTCTCAGCCAAGAAATCTACAATGATGTTAACTTTCTGTCTTACAACCTGTCCTAGGGACATGAGTTTAATTTACCTGAAGGTACACCTGATACGAGTTTTTACTGTTTGCATACTATCGAATCAGCCAACAAGTACTACATGAAAAATCTCTAGTATTTCGCATCATGCATTTCTAGTATATCTGAGAAACACATACAGCATCCTAATAAATATGTTTGCACCTGAACAGACTAAAGAAAATGACAAGTTGAGGACTTCAGTGAAGTCACTTAGATGATAATGTTATCCAGAGGAAATAATCAAACAGTTTAATTGGATAAGATAACGTTAATCGCCCTGAAGACACCTGGCAACACTCATAATCTGCTATCAGATACTGCACAAACGGGCATTCTCTAAAATCCTAGAGATCATGATGTCCAAAAGTAACCTAAATGTACACTAAAAAGGTTGACACTGAACCATAGCTGAGGATCAACACATTCAAGTTTCAGACTTGGCTTAGCGTTCAATAACTAGATATTCACTTCTAAATGGATCTTGGAAACCATATACCTAGCTATTTACTAACCTGATTGAGTTCTACGGGAATGTCTTTTAAAGAAAAAAATATATTTAGCAAGCGCACCTCTTTATCGAAAATGAGCAGAATAATAAGTCATTTTATTCTGTTGAATTTTTTCAACTGCATGGAATATAACAGAATTTTAGCATTAACATACAGAAGTTTGACATGCTTTAGGATATGGATACCTTGTATACTAATATTAAGATTGTTTCATGCTGTACACATTTTGACGAGAACCGAGGATATAAACTGTTATATTGTCCCGCTTAACTCATTATTTCTGGTCCTTTTAACATTGTTCAGAGGAAAACTGTAGTTTTCTGATAGTTTTATACTCGAATACAGTGGCGTTAGAGAGCACAAGGAATATCCTGGTGTCTACATTGAGTGTTTGCCAAGGAGGTCCAATTTCTCCATTTTTTAAAACCATAGATATCTAACTTTACTGACGGTGGCCTCCTTAGGACAGACATATTAACTGAATTAGAAAATAAATACAACTAAGAACACTAATATTTATTGGACCAGAAAGTCACTACGAATCTGAGGTATAACTCCATAATGGTTAAGATTTTATTTTGATAAATCACACAGTGTTGTACAGTTATATTAACTGATGACGTTTCGAGCACAAACTATTGCTCATAATCATATCAAGTTTTATACTTATATCAAGAATCTGAGGTACTCTTTAATTACTGTAGAGAAAAACATAATTCAAGGAATAAAAGTTGGAAGTAAAGAACGACATCACATGCAAGCACTCAATGGAATCAGTACAATACACCTATTTGAAAATTCAAAGACTTACATCTTTCTGGAGAACAAACTGCACGAAATTTCGAAATTCATCAGACCAGTTACCTCCGACTAGTCTAGGGGCATCATTTGAAGCGATCTGATAAAGAGCAGCCATAGGATTAGTAGCACTGAAGTATGGAGGCTCCAACTCCGCTAATATATAATAATGAGAAGTGTAGGAGACCATGCTTTAGTATAAAATATCTGGACATCATGAAATTACTGACACCAATAGATGAAAATATCAGGAATTCTAAGCATAAAATTTATGCATGCCCAGCTACTGCTTTCATTGGTGAGAAATGCTAGCTGAAGTAAAATTAGGTTGAAAAAGATTTAGCGATGGTCAGAGAGGAATGTAGGACATTCCTTTTTTCTATGTTTATGTGTACTTTTCTGAGATGTGATAGTTTGAACTGCTGCACTTTTGAGCAGAGCTTTACGTTGATAAATCATTCTGCTACATCTCAACAAAATTTTTTCTTCAAACAAACGAAAGAAATGGCAGTGTGTACGTACAATACATTTCTTGGTTTTTGTACACAGGTTTATTGCGTGAAATAAATACATGGTGCATGCGATAGAAATTATTCAACATCCACTGCGGACATTTGGAACACTGCACTATACACTAAAGAAATACTAAGAGGGGGTTTGCAAGTGGTGTAATCATCTTGGTATAATTATAAGCAAACATTGTCCTCGAAATGTCGTTTAGTACAAAATAGGGAATCAGTGTTCCATATTCAGTGCACAAAAGACTTGATACTGATTCTTTTTATTTGACTTAATTAAGTATATGACAACTAAAAGACTACTCCGAGTCTGCATTAAAGTAGAAATTAAGTAGAAATCAGCACAGACATGTATCGGTCAAGTCATCAAGCTTATAAAAGAAAATACAAAAAAAAACAATAAAAGTATGGCAATACAATGGACAAAAATGCATATAAAAGAGGGTAATTTAATAGGGATGTTAGGAACTTCATAGAGTTGGAATAGAATACATCTGCACTATTTCTACAAATCTTCAAATTAAGGATCGTCTCACTCAAGCCCTTTAACACCACCCTAAACGTCATACGTGAGTAGGATATAAAAATATAATCAGTCTCATCCGTGGAGTCTTAGGAATTCTGTATTTCTTAGCGTCTTCGCTAAAAAGTAGTATATCATCTCTACATTGTTTTCCTACCAGCCTGTATATTCTTCAGACGCTAAAGCCAACGGAATGTATAATATACTCAAATAAGGACAGTGATGTTTTTTATTATAGCTTGATTCCACTGTATTCTGGTACAAGTATGGAATTTTCAGCATGTGATATCGATAGCCCAAATTCAGCAGGCCGACTATTGATATTAGGTGTGCATCGGCTGGGTATCGAAACCCGGACCCATGTGCATGGTCGGCGAGCGTCCTAACCACTGTGCCACCGACGCACAAAAGTGCTAGTTGATGCACTGAGCGACAAATCTGCATCGGTTATTACCACGCCTGTAAGGGTTTGAGTGTCTTCATTAACATAATATACTCCTTTCATGGTCAAACATTGCCACGACACTTATTGCTAGACGTCACATGCCGCCTTGACGCCATTGTTCCAGAGCTTCTGGAAGGGTGAAATGGACAGTAAGACCCTTGTTTGATCCTGAAAACCGTTAGGTTATTTCGTTTCTTATTTGAATAGAAATTAACTTCTCAAATTTGTGTACCAATACTAGTTTTGAGGAAATGTTAGTTTTAGTCCAGTCCATTATGGAATTTGATGTTCTACACTTCCCAGACTTTGCTCAAATTAGCTATACAGGCTAAAAGTTAACTTCGATGCAGACAAGCTTAGGGGAAGTTTGTTTAAAAATGAATTTTAGTTTCGAATAAACATATTCCATGAAATCATTTATGGAAACGTTCTGAAAGTACACTAAAAGAAAGAGTGGATCACACTTAAGAGCCTAGGGATCCAGAAACTTAATTCGTTACAACTATACTGGTTATATATATATATATATATATATATATATATACAACCAGTTATTTGCTTGTCATTTTAAAACAAGGTTTCAGCCAGAGAATACATCAGAACAGTTGTAACTAAGCATATTTGCGCACAAATCTGAGGTATAAATACGTCCGAAGGCTGCAGAAAGAGAAAGATAGAACATTTATGAGGCAGACTAACCATGAAATAGACTGAACCACACCTACTATTGAGTGAAGGCTGATGATATCACGCAGTCTCGCAGGCTGAAACGGAAAAAGTGAGGTTAGCGTCCGGAAACACTTTGGTTGCTAGTCGAGTGTTCAAGCCAATAAACCGCATCTTCACAGATGTAACTGAAGTAGACAGAATGAGGTTCGAACACGCAATCTGTAATTTACAAGTAGAAAGTACTTACTTGGGGAAGGCGCTCGCACGTGAGCATTAAATAACACCTGTTTCAATTTGCTCATCATTATATTTGTAGTCACTTCACTAAACCGAAATTGATGCGCCATTCAGTCAGAAACAGTAAATAACGTACGAAATCTAGTTCGTAACATCTACACAATTAAGACTACTTTCAAAAAGGATGACTAGAGGAAACAAAACAGGAGAATGTATTGATGAATTTTTAGCTGAGGAAGGAGTAGTGTATACGGAATGTAATAGCTTAATTGAACATTGTCCAGGTTTTAACCCGAATTCTACGTTAATACCAAAAAATATTATGCTGAACATGAACTAACCCATTTCAATGCAAGTAATTCCTAGTGACCAAACATCCACTCGTACATCGTATATGCCTTGTTCCATAGCAAGAATAACTTCTGGAGCAATCCAAAATGGTGTCCCAACGAAGCTGTTGGCTGGACTTATGAAGCTAGCTGACCCAAAATCGCCAATTTTTACTCCACCAGAGTCGGTAAGGAGTATGTTAGCCGCCTTGATATCTCGATGGATCCTTTTTTCGGAATGAAGATAATCGAGGCCAGTTAGTACTTCCTGTACAATACAGGCAATTTCATCCTCTCGGAGTGGCTTTTTGTGAACTAGCGGATCATCTCATTAGAGAATGACATAAGTTACCTTCTAAAACATCCGCAACTGAGCCTATGCAGTATTCCATTACCAACTATTGACAAGAAACATGAAAGAATATATTGAAGACGTACCCATGGAGTTTGCTCCTTCATGTAACATCCCTTGGGTAAAACGCAATTTTTGTGAGAAAGATGTGAGAGAAATTTAATTTCTCGAACAATATCATTCCACTCTTCCTCCGACTTTTTACGTTTGGTGTCAACCTTCAGTTCTTTGATAGCTACAACTTCACCAGTCGTACGGTTCCGAGCCTGTATCAATCAAATAGTATTATATAGGAGCCTACATAATAAACTGCTCCGAAGCTTCCACAACCGATCTGTCGGAAGTCTGTAAACACAGTCGTTGGATCTTGGTGACTGAAGTATTTTGACAACTCAGGGTCTTTGAAAACAGTTGTTCTGAGAGACTTAGGCATTTAGTTCTCATTCGTTTCGAAAATGTCAATGTTCTAGGCTGGCGTCATTCACACTTTGGAAATATAGGTTCCTCTACCCTGATAACAGTTTAGAAGAGAAAAACAACCACGGCTTTTGCTGGAACTAAAATCATTGTAACAGTTCGTCAGATGTGTTTGGCGGGCAAATGAACAGACATTAGGGTATTCCTCATACTACTACCAAACACAAAGAAGATGGAAAATTTATATATCTACAAATAACCATAAGCTGTGAACAAAGAATACCTACTACCTTTAACTGTTTGCACACCTTATATCACAGCTACTATGAACCATTGATAACTGAAGCTGTGATTGAACGTTTCGAATCAGTTTTAAACCTTTCGGAAGCATTCAGAATCAGATGTTCTGAATGAATAGCATACATAACAGACATGTACGGAACGATTTTTCGTGGATGACAGGATTTTTGGGTGATTATTTTCCTGCGATCTTAAATAAAGAACAGTAACAGCTAAAGCAGGTGTCTATTCTGGAAGAGATCAGCAGATGTGGAAATGATGAAGGATAGTGAAGTAAACCCAACTGTCAAAGATTAGAAACAAAGGAAACGCTGAAATAATCACTGCAAATGACTCTCGGATCTATCACCACCTGCAGTTGGTTCAAGAATACCACCAACCGATGCGAATACCAGTGGACACCAACAATCCAGTAAAATCCGATGTCTCCAGGAGGATGAAGTTGCTAGAAGCTGGGAATCAAAAGAAGCTCTGAAAGCGAGCAAAGAGACTGCAAGGGTGTGAACACTTCACTACTTCAGAAGCAAAGTGTTGCCGAAGACACAGCACTTTTAGTGAAGTTCCCTCTGGCACGCGTAACAGCAGAAGTAGTTGGTGGTAATAGCTTTACACTTTATAATCGAGGTGTGGTTAGTGAAACCTGGTACTTGGAAGATACGGGTGTCAAAGTCAGGTGCAACCTGACACGGAGGCGAATTGCCAGAAGAAATACGTCTCCATCTTGCAGTCTTTAAATAGAAAACCTGTTGCAACCTTCGGGAAGGGATATGGCTATTTAAATATGGGTAAACTCAAACCTATTCGGTGGCTTATTCTTCTTGTTGACCTGACATACTCGTTGTAGGCGCGGACCTGTTTAACCACCACAGTGCACTTGTAAATGTACACCGACAACTGCTGGCAAACGGTACCACTAGGTCCTGTGTTGAAGGAACCACTTACATAGGTCAAAAGCCGTTACTCACTAAGAGGACAGTAGTTGGTTCACCTTTTCGGCTGGTTGGCGACAAGTACCTGGAGCCTAATCGTCTGTCAAACGACTACCAGCAGTGTCATGCATCAAATCATAACGACAGGACAATCTGTGTCCACGGAAGCATGGCGACACGCTCCTGACATACCACGACTAATCAAAAACTAATTCGATCTTATGCTCAGTCCTGGCACTGTTCAGCCACCAGATAGCCTGTAGACACTCCTATTTAACCTGGTGTCAAAAAAAGATTGGCAAATCACTGGTGAATACCATCGGCTGAATGCCAGAATTGCCCAAGATTGACGTCTGATGCTGCATAGATGACAGTGCTATCTGGTGTAACTATTTTTTTCGGAAATGGACCTAGTTAAAGCTTAAAACTGAACCACAAGATATTCTCAGAGCTGTTATAATGATACCTCCAAGGATCTTCGAATTCATTCACATGTCATTTGGTCTCCGAAATGTGGTACAGACATTCCAACGCTTCACTGACGAGTTATTTTGTAGTCTCGATTTCGTACACGCATATCGCCTCATCGTAAGTCTAAATAAGGAAAATTGGTGCTTCGACTTGGCATTCTGTAAAGTGCACGGAAATGGTGTTACCAATAATACCCAAAAACGCAGAATAAGAATGGGTTCATTAGGCTTTCTTGACCACACCACTGACTGTAAGGGTATCCGCCTACTGGCGAGTAAAGTTGAGGCAATTTAAAACAATTTGTGGCCAACAGCTATGAAAAGTCCTCACACCATCAATGGCTTTTAAGGTTATTACCGGCGGTTCATGTCCAAGTGTGCCTCCGTAACCACCCTGTTGACGGGCCTAATTCGGGGGATCACAAGTGCTCCTATGCATGCAATACTGTCGTTCATGTAGATGTCATTTGAGATGCCACTCTATTTGTGTGTCAGGATATAAAGGCACCCTTAAGTTTCTGAGTTGACGCGTCCAACACTGCAGTCAGTGAAGTTTTCTAGCAACTAGTCAATGGGGAGAGGTAACCATTTACCTTTTTCTCAAGGCTTCTACGAACAACAGAAACAAGGTAAAGCATATTTGGTGGAGAACTGACTAAATGTGTCACACGCCGTTTCCGACACTCGGCGTAGGGTCATGCATTCACGAATTTCGTGGACCACAATGCACTGTAAACTCAAATTTAGATAGGTATTCATTAAGACAATCTCGCCGGCTAGATTAAATTCCCCAGCTTACGTTGGATTTTCTCCAGTTATCCGGGATCAACAACACTATGGTAGGTGTCCTGCCGCGTATCTATTCCCCCATTCAAATCGGTGGCGCAGACCTTGCGAAACTGGCTAGTCTTCGAAGGAAAATTCTGCGCCCCAACATGAATTGTCGAACAGGGAAGTAAAATATTGTGCTCGTACGTGTCTAGCGGCCAAAGTTAAGAAGTAGTAAGACATACCGAAAGCCCCTTTGGCATTATTCTAACCTTTGAACACCCACTTTAAAGATGTTCACACAGATCTGGTTAGACGCCTTCTAGAATCTCATGGATATACACATATCTTGACCCGCATTGGGTACTACACTCGATGGCCTGAATCAGTACCCCTCAACAATGTACCTGCTGGAATAGTCACGCTCTCTTCTATGGGAAGGCAAGCTGAAAACTTTAGGTACCCTTCCCCCAAAAAAGCATTCGTGGGTGGCAGTTCGAAAGCAACCTATTCCTAGCCTTGATTAAACTCTTAGGCCTCATGGGTTTCAGAACAACAGCTCATCATCTTCAAGCCAATATTATGGTAGTACATTTTCGCCGATAGTTGAGGGTTGAGTTGTCAACCTGAAACACTGCTGGATGGACTGAATCACTACCCTCACTCCTTCTCAAAATAAGAGATGGGTTAAAAATGGACGCTAGCTGTTCTGATGTTGAGCTAGTATATTCAGCAATACTATAACTGCCAGATGAGTTTGTTTCACCTCCATCTTTTCACCAGCTGCAGATCAAGGCTTGTACATCGGCAGTCTGACAATTTCAGGGCACCCAGTTAGGTCCATTCCCCTCCAACCGCAGTCCATAAACGCTCTTGTTTACCGATACTTAAAGACTTATTCACAAGTATTTGTTCGTCGTGACTATGTACGTTGCCTGCTGAAAGATCCACACGATTAGCCATCTGAAGTTACTAAACATATGAACAAATTCTTCATTCTAGACAGAGAGCTGCAAAAACTCTGTTAGTATTGGTCGTTTGAAACCATCCCACTTTGATGGCGATCTTATGAGCACTAAACCAGTCGTTCCAAGTGATACACAAAATGAATGAATACCCACCAGTCTTCGAAGAAAAAACCCACACGACAGAGGCAAATGAAACCTCAAATGAGACTCAAAGATAAACACATTCTGGATGAACCGTGAAATTCCCTGAGCACCTTCATACTTATCTTATAGGCTCATACGAACGTGCCCCACTTTTTTCGTAAAGGATTAACCTATTCTGCCCATGGTACTTTCTTCTATGCGTGCAGACTATTTTTCACTGCACCCCGCATTATAAACTAAACATACTTCTTGTGACTGTACATATAACACATCAAATGCTTCAAATTTGTTGTAGGTGTTCTACTCGCTGCATCTGTTCCGATTTGACCGTTATTTTGGTAAGATGTTTTCGACGAAGTCCCTAACATTCTTGTTTTTTCCAGGGGGACGGGCACTGGACAAGAAGCGAACGCAGCTCGTGATCCAACACACGAGCATCAATGAAGCAATATATATCTATCATATTAGCATGGACGGACGACAAGTAGGCAACTCAGTTCCATCATACCCATCGGAAGCTTCTTAATTCTGGTTGGCTTCGCCTAAGTGCTCTCATGACACCACTGGGGGACAGGAGTCAGCTGTGACTGTGAATAAGTCTCCAAAATTATTAGCCCCAAGGAAGACATTTAGTTAGGCTGCTTGAATGAATTTTAACTAGTTTCCAGTCGATTTTGACTAAACATAATGCTCACGATTGATGTGTGACTATCAATCCTACTAGACCTGGTTGCTAGTCACGCTACTTGCTGATTCTCTGGCTTGGCCCAACTAACCTGGTGGCCACACTACCCGTAACACCTCCTCAAGTGGCGAAAGGAGAACATGATAGTCACGGCAGCCGAAAGGTGTATTTATTGATGATAATTTGAAGTGAGTGTACAAGTAGACTATCACACCAGAACGAAGCTGCCGAGCTCTCTTCCCTTGAAAATTACATTTCCACCATGAGTTTCAACACTCAAGGATAAACAAGCTGATCGTTAACGGTGGAACGGCTGAGGTTCAATTGAGTTGACGAAATTCTTTGATCCCCTACAAGACTAGACGGTGCTTGACTCAGCATTGGATGCTGCCATTCACCGTTTAAATAGAATGTTTCGTGGCTAAACACCCGT